GAACACTATATGTGAATTTATACCGTTGGCGGCTTCGTGGAGAATGGGGATATTTGTCTGCGATGATTGGTTTATCTACTCGGTGATTTGCAGCTCCTGCGTTAAACAAATGATTTCATCAATCACTGGTTACGTGGCTCAATTTTTTTTTTAAATAATTCGTTTGTTCGTATTACTAATTGTCGTGACTTTTTTCATTATTTCAAAAATACGTTTGTGACAAATTCACCAATCGCAGAAAATTTCTACGCGATCAGATTCAGAGATTTTCACGCAACGCCTAAAATTTAGAAGAGCATTGTACTTTCTCCGCGTATACTTCTCCATTAAAGTATCGCACAATACTGGAGGGCAAAAACTAATTGCCGACAAATTAACGTGCCCCCACATGCGCAAGATATCTAATCAATACCGTAAATTCAAAAACTAAGCATTTCTCTCTACAATGCTTCGGCGATTTACCTTATTAATTTTCAGTTATTGATGCCGACCCTATAGCAACTTATATAATCTCACCATTAGCCTGCTTGCCTCCGAAAAAGAACAATCGAAAAAATGCAAAAAATAATATCGATTGCAGAACGCGTCTCCTTACGAAATAACTCAAACATAATTACGAGCTCTCGCAACGTGTAGAGTGTATACACGAGGGTCGATCGCAAAAATCAGCGTATCCCAATCACGTCGCAAAGTACGCGAGAGCGTAGCGCAATCGTAATGTATAAGTAATATGATGCAGTTCATCCTCGACAGCTACTGATTTACTGGTAGCGGAAGGGCTGAACGCTCGCGCGCCCGCGACGAATCGAGAAACCGAGCGTAATTGATAGCGAAGCTCGTGAGTGTGTAAGATTGGATGGGGAATGTATTGCATAATAGGTGCGAGACGTGTGGACTCGAGCTACGACAATGGAGTCTCGCTGCTTTTATTTTTTTGTTTTTTCTATTTTATTTATTTATTTATTTCTTTTTTTTTTTCGTAAAATTATTATTAGCAAATGAGCTACTACCAATTAATTTTTAAATATTTTTCGTGTTAACGTTACAAATTCCCCGAGAGAAAGCTTACGTGATATAGCGTTTGTCTCGTCACGCGACTGACTTTTTTCACTTGAAAGTCGCGGAAATTTAAGCTTGTGATTTCTGGCAATCAGAAACGCGCTTGCATCGATTGCACGAAAAAAGTATAGACGAAATACTGCTTATTACAAATATATTCGTTTGCCGAAATATATGCGTCGCTTACATTACAGTGGCGAGGGGGAACGCAAAAAACTTTTCTCAGATTTTAATGTTCGTCTTGAACGACGTACACGGGTGATTTGCTTCGTTTGACGTCTTTATATGAAAGCCTTCTGTACGGTTTCTCTACGCGCCGAGTCGAGTCTTTGATAGACGTGCAAGGTTGTTATTTATTCAAAGTTTAAATTCAAAGATCGAGGGTTGCATACGGCCGTTAGAAATTTCACAGAATGACTTTAGAAACGATGAATATGTACGTGAAGCCCTCTGTAAGATCATATATATGTGCTGCATCTAATTAAATATGAAATTGACGTTAGGTTTTGTAAGTAGATACTTGGTGCTTTATCAATATATGTAAAATAATTAATTTCATATAGAGAGAAAAAGAATGACTTATGTTTCGATGAGGATTACTTTCATTGGAGAATATGAATAATGAAAATTTACTTAAAGCAGACAATGTGGGAACATGAGTAGCCGATATTTATTATGACGTTCAATTATATTTGATGTGTGCGGCGTACAGGCTTCGTATTATAGAAATATGCAGTTAATATTAAATAGGTCAAGTATGTTGAATATCCGAAAGATATTACGCAGAAGTCATGAATGCCGTCAAATCTTTAAAGATGGCTTAACAAAATTACATTGAATAAACATAACATGCCATTAGCTTATTTGATATAAATACAATTAAAGTATTATATATACAAATAAAATTTACACAAATCTGATTGAAAAGTAATTTTTCAGAATTTTCATACACATCAAGAAAATTGAAATTATAAAATTTGCTATAATCCGTAGTAAACATTACTACAAAACATACTAATTTCAGGATATACTCTGACCATAGTATAAATTGATATCTAACATAGTAAAATTTACTATAGAACCCTGTTACTACTGAAAATAGAATACAGAACATCAGCTTCATAACTAATTACTAACATGATGCATGATTCAAACTGACATTTTCTTATATAATAATCAAATATTTATTCTACAACTTGCAAGAAATGAACCGCCATCTACACGTGGATCCTACAAATAATCAAATTATTAGCAATGTGCAGTTGCTATTGCGTACGCGTTAGAGACTTCAATTCGACCCTAATAATTTTTTCTATGTTAACGTAAAAATTGTTCAAAACCATATGTTATTATATACTTTAATATTTATTATAACATAATAACTGTTTTTTCTACAATATTGATATATATAGTGTTCTGCAGTAAATTTGACTATAACTATATTACATTTTATTTATATTATTTGTTTTCTACATATTGTTAAATTTCAAGTCGCTCGCGCCAACTTTGTTCTGAAATCACTAGCATGGCAATCAAAATCTCAATCCTCATCCGAACGCGTCGATCCTCTTTCTAGTAGCGATCTCCGCGTTATTCCGCGCGGCTCTGAAGCTGAGAGTAGCGAAGACGCTACTCCACTTGGCCGTGCTCGTGCTCTATAGTGCCGGGCATTTCACTTTCACTAAGCCTCCCACGAGTGTGCCTCATCTCTCTGGGGGCACCCCACTCTCGGTCCCTCTCTTTCTGTCGTCAACGGGTCACTTACTCCCTGAGGTCGTTCCTCGCTCGCGAGAGTGCGCCGACTCCCTACTACTTACTCCTCGCGCCGCCGGACTTCGTCTCCTCTTATCCTTTTATCGCGCGCACCTTCTATTCAGCCACTCATTCTATTGCCTATATAGCCTGTTCTCTTGTCTACTTTTATCTTGTTAACTCGTTGTGTTATCTACTACTGCGCTTACTCTTCATCGATGGTTATCCTTGATCTTTTGTTGACGATCGCATTCACCGTGTAGCTTTTCATTATTTTTCTAAGGAGATTTCTTTTTTCCGCAAGTCACTCTTTTCTAATACAATGCCAGCCTACGTTGTAATTGAATTGATTTACAATTCGTCGATTTTACGCAATACCATTTTTACGGGTAACGACCAGTCAATTAATTAATTTAATTATGTGTTATTTGAACAATCGGCTACCCAATGGAATGCTCATCAATTAGTTTTGGAGTCACGTTTGTCTGATATTAATTCAATAATGAAAGTTACCGGAAAATGAAGATGGTGAATTTCAATTGATAGAAATGCCAAATTGCTCCGAGAGAGGGGACGAGTCATCAGTGATTAGTCTCAAATTAGTAGCAACAACCTCAAGACGATCACATTCAGGCCGTAAAAAGCAGCGCCACGATTATACCACCACTCCTATTTTCTCCCCACATACATCTCAATTCGCACGGCTCGCATGGAGTACACGACATATCCTTGCATGTGCCTTACACAGGAGTAGGGACTGCAGCATTTGAAGCGAGCCAGGGAGAGAGAGAGAGAGAGAGAGAGAGAGAGAGAGAGAAAGAGAGAAGACGAAAGTTGAAAAAAAGATAGGCATTCGCCTAGAGAGTAAAAGAGAGAAATACCGCGAGGGAACAGTAGGAGGAGATCATTCGTTTGGTCTCTCGAAGGACGAGAAGTGAGAGGGAGGCATCTCGTCATCATCCCCGACAATGACACGTGCGCAGCAAAGTGGGGAGAGAAAGAGCGCGCAAGAGGCAAAAAAGAAGAGGCGCATCTCGGTACGGGCATAGGGTGCGCGCTACGGCGGCGACTGCTTAACGCTAGACGACGACCGGGGGCCTATATATGATCACGACGACACCTCTACCATCAGTCAACTATCTGGCTTAACCGTCGCCGCTGCTGCTCCACGCACACACATTGGATACTGAATACTTTCAGAGAACAACGTTCACGCAGTCACGAGTTCTTCTTCTGTTCGCGTTGTTGCGCTCGAGGAGCCCGCAAGGGATCTCTATCTCGAGCGATTCGGCGGTTTTGGTTTTTTTTATCCTACGGTGAGTGCGCGACCAACACTGAATTGTCATCATTCACACGCTGGAGCTTGCGTTCGTTTGGTGCTTTTATATCGATTTTCGGCTAAACTCTGTGCTTATCCAGGACGGGTTTTCTCCTTTTTGCGTTTGCTTTCCGACAAAGTGAATTGTGAAATTTTATGTTAAGTATTTTGGTCGCTGACTAAATCGTGGTAAGATTGTTGCGCTTTCAATTTGAATAGTTTTCTAATGTTGGCAATTCACAACTAATCTTTGCGCGTTTATCGGTATGTAAAAGCTATTGCAAGTTTTACAGTAAAGATGAAGATCGTTAAGCAATTGTTAGAAATAGCGTCGTCGGCATTTTATTATTACAATATATTATTTGTCATGGGACGCTTTAAAATGCCGAAATAATGCTATTATATAACGCCTCTTCTCGATTTCACAAGTGATAAAATTAAACTTTCCTTCGTTTAAAAATGTTAAGGCCGCTACTGACATGCACGATATTGCATCTCATCTAATCAACATACTCATGACGAGCGATAAAACCATCAATACGCGCCATAAGGAAGTATCGTCAAGCCGGCATCCTCCGATGGTGATTGTTACGTTTGAACGCCCATCAAAGTAGTAAAAGCGGCGCGTGCCGATTGAAAAGTTGGCCGCAACTGTCATTGTCTCGGGCTCTCGAGATTACAGCTTTTCTCTCGCGGAAGGAAACTTAAGAGCGGGGTGGGATAGGGATTCCAAGCTCCAGATGTCAATGCCGCGGTCGCTTGTATAATCGATCGAATCATTAGCCCGCGAAAATACGATTCTCTGTACATTGTTATGCCTCTCTATTGCAGGCACGAACTTCTATAGCAAGGCACATCAGCGACAACAAACATGAAGCTGTGTTTGTTGTGGATAGGTAAGTGACTTTTGTTATAATCATTATATTTTTGCAATCATTTCGAGACGTATATTGTTTTATATCGGACATCGTTTCGAATAAATTTAATTTAAATAAACACACTCTCTTTGCAAAGGACTTAACTAATGTAACATTTTATATTGATCGAATGAATTTAGTAAAAAGTGGGATACTTTCAAATGGATTCAATACAGTTTTTTAAAGCAACTCACGTAGAACGCGATACATCACGTTCATTATTCCTTTCATAAGTGTCGAAACAATCTTGCCAGTTTTTCGAATAATATTCTTAGCTTGCGATCAATTAAAAAAACAATTGCATAAAAATGCCTGTTATCAAGATATTCTCTTCTTACAGTTTTCCAACTAGAATCATTCAATTAAAAAACTTCATTAACGTGAAGAGATAAAAAGAAACATAAAAATCACATCGCATATCGCCGCGAAAATTCAATACACCGGAAATCAAGTGCGGATAACAAACAGAAACCAGCATTTTGTACTGGACTCGCACAATGCAAATTTTTACTAGCAACTTGACTGTGTAGCTTACTACTTTGATAAAGAGATAAGTTAGCTGCCTTTTATGAGGATAGACGAGCATAAACTGACGATGTAGCATTTTTGCGTGCCCCCGTTTAAATAGCCATAATTTTTCTCCTGTGCTCCGTTCATTCTTCATTTTTATTGGCCTCGTATATGCTCAAGCCTACAGCCTTCGACGCGGTAGTTACACTCGACGGTCAGATAAAAAATACCAAAGTCATCCAAGTAGACATTGGGAAACACGTGTGCGCAGCAATATGTAGTTTCACATCGTTTGATATGTAAAATATGTCAACGAATTTTTTCACATAATTCATGATTTTTTCTACTTGCGAAACAGAAATTCGATTAGAGTTAATCTGATAATTCATCTCGCTATGAATGAATTTTAGGCTGCAACTACAAAGGTCTGTACTGACATTACAGTTGTTCAGATATAAGTAAAATTTTTACCATTCACTTGTCAATTATACTAGAATATTTCTAGTGATCGTTTCGGCTTTGAAAAAACATTGCGCCATAAAACAACGAGTGGACTATTGAATACAATTTTAAACGCAACGCGAAGAGACTTTACTCATTGTATTGATGCTGCATCCCAAAGCTATAGTTTATATAATGAGTTTAGAATAAAAAAATTACGAATCCGCGTAATTGAAAGCAATTATGAAAGTATTAAACAATACGTGTATAGCGTGAAATTCTCTGGCGCATTTACATTTCACCTCTGTATTCGGTAACGGTATTGCACTAAGAAATTGTAAAGTAACTGAGATAAAATAAAATTACGTCATAGAAGAATTTAAACTAGTAAGCCATATATGATTAGTTAAAATTGAAAATTTTTAATTTGATTACTTCAAAAATTTGTAACAAATCATTGATACTAGCAAAATAAGTAATAAACTAAATGCATAATTATCAAGTATTTTATTACTCGAAAATCTTATAAATTGTCGAAATTAAGGTTAAAATTGAAAATATTTAATAAATAAAAATAACATTGTTGTAATTTCACGAAAGAAAGTAAGCGATTCATCATCTTATTTTGATGAAGAAATTTTGTTTCATAAATTCACGTTTGGTCATAAGTATAACAATGCTGATTCTGATTGACTTTTCAAAAACCTCATTCATTACACTTGCATACCATTTGCATAAATAAGCTCGACGAGAGAGCAATACAGCAACATCAGTAGTTGGGGCAATTGTCTGCTCATATAAAAATGGTGAGCCTTCCCAAAACAATGAGCAGATTCTATAAGCAGATTCATTCTCGGCCGCGTACTGATTAATCGCGTGAAAAAAGCGACAAGCGTAAAAAAGAAAACATCACGCATAAGGTATACGGGTCTATTGTGCAAGAGTGGCGTGCGAGGAATCGACCGAAATTTTCGTGGACCCCCGGTGATTAGTTCTTGTACATGAGAAGGCTGTTTTTCGTAACTTCCTTTCCCAATTAAAATAAGTAAAAGATAAGTTCCACGCAGGGGCATTGTTTGGCAAGGTTTTTTTTCAGTGCGTCTTCCCTTTTTCTTCCCCTTCTTCTATACCGGTCGCTTCGAGCGCGACGAGAAATAAAGGTCAAGTGTATGCAGAGGTGGACCGACCAAATCGTCTATAGGTAGTCTGCTGCAATTGTTTCGCTCCCCTATCTATCCACCGCTAATTTACGGGTACGCTGAGTGTAGATTCTCCGCGGATTTTTTTCGTCGGTGGAATTTTCGTCGTCGTTGGGAAACGTGCGCGGTTTTCTTCTTGGCTTGGAATCGGGTCACTGCTGTACACGCGATATCGCCGCTCGATCTTTCTCCAGAAATCTCACAAGATTTTACGCTGTGAGCGCTTCAACTACGGATCAATTACACAATTCTGTTTTACTCTTGAAGTCTTCATCATATATTTCACGTGTACAGAATACCTGCTTTTATATAATTGGCTGTATTTTCACAGTGAAATATGAAATTTGCAATTTCATTGTAGGAAAAATCCAGTTCTCTTTTATCGATTATTTTCTAATATACTATTTTGAGAATATTAAAATTGATCACTTTAAAAAAATTGTTTGTACAAGGCTATTTAACTATTACGTCATATTGGTGACAATTTTTATGAAAATAGAATAGATATTAACTTATCAAAGGTGTCTCATGTCTTCTAATAAATCAGTAATATCGTAGTGCTTCAATTATTTAAGATGGAAAAACAATATATATAGAATAAGTAATTCTTTATATAAATAGTGGACGAACGTACAGCCAAGAATTGTATTAAGATAGTTTCATACTTATCAATTATAGATTGAATATTATATCGTAAATCACTTTGCATCGCATTATGTTCTCCCTGAATAAACTGTCTCATTCTAGCAAAAAAACTTGTACAATGTGAGTGGACCCATCAGTTTAGACGCGCGTAACATAGATATTATGCGACGCGGGAAAGGAGACGCGTGTGAAGTTCTCGCAGGCCGCGGAGAAGTAAAATAATTTGAACAATCTCTGACATAACTCCCCGGCTAATTAATTAGGGACGTACGCGTGAACTCATTGTCAGTTTACGGGGGCGTAGCATTCTGTGTTCTCACCACGTGAACGACGCATCGCATCTGAAATCCGAAATTTTCTGAGTTTAACACGGGACTCTGGTTTGCGTTACGTACTTGTACTCCTATCGTCTTTCTTTTGAAATCTTGCGTAAATTGGCGGAGTCAAAGCTGCATGTGTACGCATATTTATCTGTCTATTTCACTTATTGTTTCTTTTGTTTATTTCAGCTGTTTCGGCTATTTTTCGCACATCATTGGTGAGTAAATTACTAATATTACTATATATTTAAACAAATCTATTATTTTACATGATTTCATGAAATTTACATATGTAACTTCATATATGTATGAATCTATTTATATTGATACTGACAATTTAGTTTTTAATTTAATTGAATTTTTACTAAGATAAAATATATATTGTTTAGTACCATGATTCATATTATTGTTCGAGTTAATAAATCATTCGTGTTTACCTTATATAAATATAAGGCAGAATGTCGCGCGTGATCGTGAATTTCAGTATTAGTATAGCAGGCTTATCCTATGTGGCTTTTTCTTCCTCCTAGGAGGTATCTTCTTTAGTAAAATTACGCAATTGCTGCAAATACGCTGCAATAGCGGTGCGCATCGATCGCGTACCGTCTTTTCGATCGACTCGCACTAACACTGTTAAGTAGCTGGTTTTGTAATCTCTTGTGGATCGGTGACCAGAATACATTGAATAAAGCACATCGTGTGCTCCTCGCTAGTTCTCTTTCTCTCTTACTTTCTCGTACAGCAGCAAGACTCGAAGGAAAGCATTCCGTGTTATTTGCATAAGCGATATACACTGCATAACGACTGTTAGGTATAAAAAAGCATATATATGCAAACTTAAAAAATAGATTACGGCACCTGCTAACATTCGGCAAACAAGACTAATCATATTTAAAAGTCTTGAAAAAAGTAATATCATTTTATGGACTGTTATGTCATGCGATTGAAAAACTTTCAGGCTCAAGAGGGTTATGATTACCCTCGACCAAGTAATCCTCTGATTCCGGGTAGACCGGCACCAGGAGGAAGTATTTCAAGGCCTGGTGGTCTAGGCGGTGGTTTCCCTTCAACCCCGTCAGGTGAATATGGAACTCCTTCTCCCTCAGATGGAACACGGCCTACTGGAGGGTATTCATCTGGTGGCCTAGGAGATTTTCCAGCAACTAGTGCTCCTAGTGGTGGATATCCTTTGGGAGATCCAAACAGTTCACGACCTGGTGGAGGCGGCAGTGGGTTACCTACGAGTGGTGGGGGTCCCGACAGTCAAACACCTTCCGCTGGCGGTAACGGCTATTCTTCAAGTGGTAGCCCTGGAGGTCAAAGACCATCAAGTAATGGAAATGGGTATCCATCGGGACGTCCTAGTGGCCAACGGCCGTCTGGTGGTGGAAGTGGATTCTCTTCGGGAAGTCCTAGTGGTCAGCGTCCAGGCTCTACTGATGAAGGATATCCCAGAGACAAACCATTGGTTCCATTTCCTTTACCAAATGAAAGTCCAAAATCTGGAACTGGCTTCCCTTCCACAACAGGCCCCATAGGGCCATCTCAACAACCACAGCAAGGTGGTGGATACCCGAGTGGAAGACCGGGTGGTCAGGGAACATCAGGAGGTTTCCCTAGTGGAGGACAAAGACCAGGAACTGGATCACAAGGTCCATCTAGTGGTAGCTACCCAGGTAATAATATTGATAAAAGATTTGGATTTATTACTAAAATGAGAAATGGAACAGTTATGTTTAAAAATAATTTTGTGTGTGTGTATGTATGTGTATATGTGTGTATGTGTGCGCGCGCGCGAATTTATTGATTATAATTATTGTTGTATTATTATTGTTTATTATACTTTTAGCATATATTGCGCAATTTCATTTATATTGTGAAAATAATATTTTTTAATTAATAACGGAATTATTTTATTTGATATAATTTAGAATGAAGCACAAATTGGAATACTATAAAAATCAAAAAGTAATGAATGATGTTCAGGTGGTCGATCGAATGATGGGTTTCCTAACAGTGATCAAAGCTCAGAAATTGGAGGAGAAACATCCTCTGGTTATCCTAGTGGAAGTCCGAGTGGTGGATATCCAGGTTCAGGACAAGGCCAAAGACCATCTACTGGAAGTACACAAAGACCTGGTTTTCCATCGGGTAGACCAGGTGGGGGCGTTCAAAGTCCAGGATCTTCTGACGAAGGCTATTCTAGAGATAGACCAACAGTTCCATTCCCTCCACCGAATGAAGGTCAAACTCAACGTCCTGGTACAGGTTTTCCTTCGACATCGCGTCCAGGTGGACAATCACAACGACCAGGCGATGAAGGCGGATACCCAACTGGAAGGCCTAATGGTCAAGGAACACCAGGAGGTTTTCCCAGCGGAGGGCAAAGACCCGGAACTGGACCACAAGGTCCATCTTCAGGTGGTTATCCAGGTAATGTAAATTGTTTTCAACAAAATTCATGATTATGAAAGATATTAGAAGTTTTTTAAGTATAGTTATTGTGACAGATATACAATTTACCTGCAATAGTTAAATAACTTATATTTAACAGTAAAATTGACTCAAAAATTTAACGGTTCGATTAGTCACATTAAAATAATATTTTGTTAAACATTTTTTCTTAGTTTCGTGTATAGTAAAATAAAAATTTTCGACTATAGAAAAAATACAAAACAAATAAATATTATTAAGGGAGCCGACCGAGCGATGATTTTCCCAGTAGCGGTCAAAGACCAGGAGGAGGACAGCAGTCACCTTCTGGCTCGTATCCAAGTGGAAGACCGAGTGGGGGATATCCCAGCTCTAATCAAGTTCCTGGTTCTGGACAAGGTTCTCAGAGACCATCAACTGGTGGTTCGCTAGGACCTGGAGGAGGTCAAAGACCGTCAGGGGAAGGTTATCCTAGTAATCGTCCCAATATTCCTTTCCCTACCGGAGATCAAGGAGCACAGAGACCCAGCAATGAGCGTCCTAGTGGAGGTTTTCCATCAACATCCTCTGCTAATGGTTTTACTTCAACTTCATCAAGGCCACGACCGCCAAATGGTTTATATCCTACGCCAGATGCCGGATCATCCAGGCCATTAAAACCTTCTGGATTCCCTAGTGGAAATCAGCAACCTGGAGCACAGCGCCCATCAGGTGGTGGATATAATGGTAAGTTGAATGTTGAAATTTAGAGTTCCTGCAAAAAGGTAACTTTTTATACATTAAAATAGAGATTTTATTTTGTGTAATATTTTTAGGACTTATAGGGCTTTATACCTAATATACTGAAAAAGTAAACTCCTATAAAAAATAAAATATCGCTTGAAGAAGTATAGATTTTAAACGACTACAACAGAAAAATAATTTTGAATAATATATATTATTACTATAGATTATTGAAATCTTGATCAAAAAGATTGAAATGTTCCAGAAATTTATGAACGAAATCCTTGGTAAAATGATTGTATTAGAAAATTAGTTTTTTCACAGAATTAATTTTTGTTTTAACGTAACTTAGAACGATTTCACCTTATTTGAATTTTGTGGAGAATGAGTAATATGATCTTAGTTTTTTAAACATAAATTGTAGTACTTATTTTTTCAATAGTTGTATAATTCATAAAAGAAATTTGATTGTTAAAAACATAATATATGACTATAAGTTGCAATTGAAAACCTTGAACCACGAGTATTTTTATTTTACTTTCCCAAATTTTAGTAGAAACCGATCTTCCACTGATTTAATATCACCTCCTAAGTTTCATAGAATTTTGATAACGAAACAACTATAAAGTATTTTTCAAGTTTATTTCATTTAAAGTAATAATTTATATATCTATAGATATAACTGTCCACTTAAAATATTTTTAAATATATTTTAAAATAATTACTACGTAATTAAATATTAGACGTAGATATATTAATTAATAAACTCTCTTCATTATTTAGTAGGTGGATCTATTGACGAAGAATATCCTGGACCAGCCCCACCACAAGAACCTACGGGACCATCTGGTGGATACCCTAGTCAGAGACCGGGTGGCTCGCAAAGACCGGGAAGTTTTCCAGGTATGATTTCTAGATTAGTTTTAAAGCTAAAGCTAAGACAATGATAGATTTTTCAAATTTACCACAACGTGGCAGTTATACAATAACGTCATACTCATACTACGTCCATAATACGTTTAATAAATATATATTTATTGAATGGAATATAAATTATTTTCAAAAATTTATTTATTTTTAATATTCAGGTGGACAGAGTGATCAGTTTCCACAAACCCCAAGTGGATTCAAGCCGTCAGGTCCAGGAACAAGCAGTGGTGGATATTCAGGCTCTTCTGGACAAGGGCCAAGTGGCGGTGGATATCCTGGTACATCTGGACAAGGGCCAAGTAGTGGTGGATATCCTGGTACATCTGGACAAGGGCCAAGTAGTGGTGGATACCCTGGTACATCTGGGCAAGGTCCAAGCAGTGGTGGATATCCTGGTATATCTGGACAAGGATCAAGTGGTGGCGGATACCCTGGTACATCTGGGCAAGGGCCAAGTAGTGGTGGATATCCTAGTACATCTGGACAAGGTCCAAGCAGTGGTGGATATCCTGGTACATCTGGACAAGGACCAAGTGGTGGCGGATACCCTGGTACATCTGGGCAAGGGCCAAGTAGTGGCGGGTTTCCAGGTACATCTGGGCAAGGGCCAAGTAGTGGCGGGTTTCCAGGTACATCTGGTCAAGGTCCTAGCGGTAGTAATTTTCCTAGTACTTCTGGCGGTGGTACACCTGGCTTTGAAGGACAAGGCCAAGGACCATCTGGCAGCGAAGATGGAACTTATAACGAGGGCGATTATTCGGCTATACCTGGTGAACCTGGACAAGATTATCCCATCTATTCTGAAATTCCTGAAACTAGTTTCAGCTGTGATGCACAGCAATACCCAGGTTATTATGCCGATGTTGATGCCCAATGCCAAGTATTTCACATTTGTGCAAACAACAAGACATACGACTTTTTGTGTCCTAATGGCACAATATTCCATCAGCAATATTTTGTTTGCGTTTGGTGGAATCAATTTGATTGTAGTTCAGCACCAGAATTATATTACTTGAACGAGAATCTCTACGATTATACGATAATGGGTTCCCAGCAACAACCTGGTGGACCTAGCGGTCCTGGAAGTTTTGCAACTGGACCAGGAGGTCCTGGTGGACCAAGTGGTTTTCCGACTGGACCAGGAGGTCCTAGTGGGCCTAGTAGTTTTCCAACTGGACCAGGAAGTCCTAGTGGACCTAGTAGTTTTCCAACTGGACCAGGAGGTCCTAGTGGACCTAGTGGTTTTCCAACTGGACCAGGAGCTTCTAGTGGACCCAGTGGTTTTCCGACTGGACCAGGAGGTCCTAGTGGATCTGGAAGCTTTTCAACTGGACCCGGAAGTTCTAGCGGGTCAGTTGGACGCCCGAATAGTTATCCTAGCGGTCCTGGTGGCCCTAGCGGATCAGGTGGTTATCCTAGTAGTCCTGGTAGTCCTAGCGGGCCAGGCGGTTATCCTAGTGGCCCTAATGGTCCTAGCGGACCGGGTGGCTACCCTGAAGGTCCTAAAGGACCAAGCGGCTATCCAGGTGATTCTGGAGGCTCTGGTGGTCCCAGTGGGCCCAGTGGCCCTGGTACTGGATATCCTAGTTCACAGTTAGGTTCAGAACAGCGGCCATCACAACAACCAGGAGGTGGAAATGAAGGTTATCCAAGTGGTAGACCCACTGGTCCTGCGTTTCCTAGTGGAAGACCTGGTCAGACAGAGTCACCTTTTCCACCGGTAGGTCCATCGAAACCAGACCGTGAATACTTGCCACCTCGCGCTGGTTAAGCGTCGTCAAATGAAATTTTTGCCTTGATAATATCAATTAACTTGATGCTGCTCTCAGTGCTCCGAGATATAATAACTGTAAATACAAATGTATCTTACTTATTAAGTTGAGTGATGTGCATTTCAATATAACGTGCTTACATTTATAAAAATTATTTGAAGTATCAAAACGAAGTTTTTATTGCATTTAACAATGAGATTACTAGTTTATAGAGACATGCATCGAAGAAGGTTATTTAAAATTTGAGCAGATGCTTACATTTACTGTTATATAATTGAAAATGAATTTGTATGTTTACGTGTACTAGTAAGTTGTCTAGTTAACATTTTCAATTGTATAACTAATTCAATAAATTTATGTTTGTTATCCGAGCAGATTTTCATTTTATAGCTGCCTACGAGTATTATATTATTGTGTATTTATTTATTATGTTTGGATACAAGATATTATGGAAAAGTTACCAGTCTATTTTACAATGATGAACGAGATATCGCTACGAATTTTGCTAAGCTTTATCAGAAGAATTGTATATAATATAATATGTGCTTATAAGTTCAATGTTGGAAAGAGAAACGCTTTCATAAATGTACGGTGATTCCACAGCAATAAATATATTTTGCGTGTTAATCCAAATAGTAGCTCGTTCTAATGTAAGAGTATCATTTTTATAATTAATTTATAAGTGATATACATTTGCAATTTTTTACAATGTATTTTTTATAAAAATGGTTTGAGATTCCTACATGGGATGCCATTATGTATATTTTATACGTGAAATAAAAATAAAACACCTCTGCAAGTCATGTGCCATTCTATTTCGTAGCCTGTGAATTACTTAAGCATTATTAACCATCCTAGTTATCTCCTTAATATTTATAAAGACTGTAATTTTGCTGAATTATTTTATCAAAATAGAGAAACAATCCTAATTCGAATTTTGTTTATGAGATATGACTAAGCGGCAAATGGTATTGCCCTTTGGAAGAAACATGCATTGTCAGGATTAATGAAGATAAATAAATGTATTTAATTGTGCATAGTACAATAATTTGATGTTTTGGTCTAGGTGTGTGAAAATACTTTCATGGTATATAGAAAAGTAATGTTGCAACTATACATTACTATAGTCTTTTCTTGTTTCTATACGGTTTCAAGTAAAACGTTTGTCTTTATTTACATGTAAGTGTTATCGTTTTTTATAACTTACTAAATAAAATTTGGTATGCAAAAAGATTTGTTATGTACAATAAGTCTTAATATTCAAAAATTCCTTTGTAGAAATATTTTACCCCCCTCCCCCCCCCCCTAAAAAAACTATTATTATTTACTTCTATGAAAAGAAAGAGATATTGTAAGAATTTACCAAAGAATTAGGAAAGTAGGCCACGTCGGAACCAGCAAAGACCGTGAAAGCATTAGTCGCGACAACAGTGCATCAATCGCAACTAAGCCGCAGACTCATATTACGCAAGCAATGTTTGTTCTTGCCATTTGCTTGATGCAAAAGGCCTATCTTATACCCACTACCTTGGTTTTGCAGTTAGTTATTATCATTATTATCAAGCCAACATCTTCAAATAACTAAAAACGATTTGACTGATTTGAACAGCTTCTTGATGCTCTATTCTTGTTACATGTGTGGGAACAAGTGGAACTTTATTACTTTTACTAATATAATAATTTATACAAGAACATCAAGCTTTCTTGATAGATAGCTTCGCACAGAGGGGATGTGAGAAGTAGTATTGAAAAACTATAAGATTTATTGTGTTAGACGTAGATTGTTTATATTTGGAAGATATGAAGATTGAAGTAAATAGCCTGTGCATGGAAAAGAATAATTTTCTGAGTGTTTCTTTAAAAGTACAAAATTATTAGTAAAACAAAATATTATTTTTTTTAATTTTCAATGATCCGGTAATCGACCAATAACACCTATGTGAAAATAGTATTCGTTACAAAGAGTATCACATTCTAAGTGAAAAGTGGATTGAATGCAATACCAATCAATGAATCTACATTAATTGGAATTATTTATTCATTTTGCATGTAGTTGTCACGGGCTTCAACTAATCATATTTCTCGCAGACATGATTTATCATTACTGTTAGCATAATCATTCTGCCAATTTCCTAGCTCATCACCTAGGACAAGAAATCTCAGGCACGCATTCCTACTTAATTTTACCTAATCCAATATTCTCTCGCAATAAAATGTCATGTCACGTAAGAAGTTTCTTTATTGATCCTTACAATCTTCTTTTTCGATTGCAACTTGTAAAAATTGAGTGCACGCATGTTTCATCGTGTATAAAAGGAAAACATTGACAATTTTTCTCGTGTTGCGGTCGTATGAAAAAAGGAAGAAAAATGGTACAAAAGAGGATAGACGTATAGTAATCGCGGTCAAGTATATACAAGGCGCTAAGTCGAGCATCTTCTGGTGTCTAGTGCTGCATCTATCTGTGACCTCGTACGAAAGATCGTTGATTTATACCGTCGCATACACTGACCGGTCGGATACTGACTCACGCAAACGGCGCGCGTTAAGATGCGTCCTTCTTTCTCTTCGTTTACGCGCAACGCGTAGTAGGCTTTATCATTGAGCATTTAAAATTCCGTTGCGGCTTCAACACGTCAATCTGTGTCAACAGAACACAGCGTGGCTTCTTTTTTGATGCTGTATAATTAATCGAATTGTACTTGTAAAAAGAAAAGTAAATTAAGTTAGCGATTTTAATATTATTATTGTATTGTATTTTATTTATATAAGCAGTGTATTTTATTAATTATTTGTAATAAGTGAAAATCAACGTAAAAGATAATTGGAATTTAAAAAGATGGTTTAAAAATATAAACAATTAATGAGTTGCAATTATATTAATTCAATTTTTAATTCTTAAGTTCCCGCTACAGTTCTCGATGATTTCTATATTTACAGATTCATATCAACTATATGTTCAGGTTCAACAACGGCATATTCATCGATAGATAGACACTTTTCGATAGATTCATCAATCTTAGTTTGATTTTCATTCATATCTATACTTACTTTCTTCACTCGTCTATACCAATGGTGCATTTTTTCTTCAATGTAGTTCGTAATCTATTCATAGAGTTTAAAGTTTTTCAGTTTTAAAAGCTAATTTGGAAATTTGAACTATTAATGATTTGATTTTTGAAACTTACATTAAAAAAATAGATGTGTTATAGCTATATAGTTAAATGATAAAAGCTTTGCAGAATTTTCACATGGTAATTTGTTTAAGTCAAACTTAAAATATAGATCGCAAAGTCATTGTTATGAATGTACCGATATATTAGATAGATTTGAAGGATTTGACAGAAAAGACGTCATTGACAAAAAAGTGAAGTGTGGGGATACGAATGAAAATAAAATAGCTTGATATTGATAAATCCAACGATGATTCGTACGTCTGTCAACGAAAATGCAAAAGTACAAACGTGTCGTTAACTCTAGTGATACCTACACTAATCTAGCTATAACTTCATAAAAACGGTATATAATTTGTAATCTATATTTTTTCATAATCTGCGTCATTCTTGTCTGTCGTTTAAACTGTTTCTTAAAGACAAAATATCTCTATCGGAAAATCTATATGGTCGAGCGCTTATGCGTGCTCGGCTGTGGCTCATTTGTCAATCTTCTACGATCTTAGTCGCGGCATAAATCCTTTCTCGCAAAATTTGCGCTGGTTACGAAAGTTAACTAGAGTTACGCAATTTCGAGATGCGCCGTTGGCACAACTTCCGAGATGCGTTTAGTGAGAAAGTACACTCCTTTTGCCGTAGTCGAAAATTTTCGCGATTAATCAGCATATCTGTGCGATTATTCATAAAATGTTATGATCGATCGTTTATTTACAAGCCACTTTGCTGTTATTTGAAATCACGAGTTGTACACTAAATGAAGCGAAAGCTTTGAATTGAAGCGTATTGCATCGCTTTCAACGTAATATTATTTTGTAAAGATATCTTCTAAGGAAAACGACGAGACTGATTTATTGCAAAAACACGTGTAAACTCATGCGTAATCGTGATTTCAATTGCCGAGAGTTGTATTGTTGGATATATATTTCTTGTCATTCACGTGTTTGTCCATCACTATGAACTCACTATGTTGTCAAATACATTTAAAATACTTCAATTTCTCTTTACATAATAAATGAAAATGTAACCATCTATGACTGCCCAAAAAGTACGGCTTTTAAATTTAACGATTCCGCCTTCTTTAATGACGTAAATATACAGATAACTATAATAGTAACTATAATAAACTGAGACTTTAGCCATCTAATTGATTTAAATAGGTGGGCGTGTCAGGTGTAATCTACAAAGAAAAGTTATTTTCAGAATCTCACTACATAAGTATTAAAGACACGAGTAATCGTTGGAATTCCTCTCCGACTTTCTCGGGCTCTCAATCATAATCCGCGCGGCACACAAGCATTATACAAGCGTGCGGGCGACGCGTATCGGAGGCGTCCTTATAAATGACTTCGCCTCTAATGACACGTAACTCATACGTGAACTTCAGCTGTATGGATAAGTCGTACGGATACTTCCTTTGGTGGCTTAAGCAAAGAAGATTTGCCGATAAACCAATGATTCGTTTACCCCCGCGTATGACGATCGCGTAAATTTAGTAAAGAGAATTACTCGTATGCTTATTAAGAAATAATTTATGTAAGGTGATCGAGGATAGAATAACACGTGGTGTGATGAATGAGTCGCATGCATGAGGTATATGATCGATGGCCAATTTTCATGTTGGCGAAAGGTCCTTAATAAGAACAATTTTATTGTGTAAAATTTTTTCAATGGCTTTGAATCATCATTGTTGAGAAATTCAAATTTTCTTTTGAAATAATAACCCAAGAAGAGCGAATACGTAAAAATTTTAATCAGTGAAAGGCTAAATTTGCGAAAGATTAACCCGCCAGATTATTAAATTTATCGACGATTCTTCAGTATGTTAC